CTAATTTGCAAGCTTTTTGTGAATGTTTAAAGATATTTTTTTTATGAATGGGCTAGTTGCTACACCAAAATTATTTTAAGATGCAGTGAAACAACTTTACTTGCGATTTATGTTATTAAAAGTCATATTGCATCATAGAGAATATTAAAAAATTAACACTCAGTAATTTTATACATTTGCTTCATTGACGAAAGAAACAAGTTCCTAAGAAATTAATTGAGTTACAAACTAGAAACTGAAGATTCGATTGATTCAATTCTGCAATAGCCTTGAAGATCACCATTTACATAGACAACAAACTTAAGCTAAACTCTACACAGACCTTCTTGCATTGAATAATGTTCCCTTTGGCTTATAGATGCCTTCAAGGTAATGTCCACCAGACTACAATCTCACATGTTAGAAATCGTGGAAAATAAACGTATAATCGCGTCAAACTTTTTCTAAGGAACTTAGTTGTCAGCCTTACATGTCAAAAATTGTACTTATCCAATTAATTTATAATTAAGTTATAATAAAGACAGCAACTTACAAATTATTTGGATCTAATTTCAGCCAAAAAAGGCAGCTACTTTATGGACAACATCTCCCCCTTGCCTATTTCTGTTCCCAGAAAAAAAAATGGCAAAGCGTTTCTGATACTCGAAGTAATAAGTCGACTTTGTTGACAGAACTGTTACAGACGTTCTGAATAAAAATTGAATACACATATCTTATGGTTGAGGTTCATCGATGATTTTGTCCGTTATAGGATACATATAAGTTTAAAAGTGTATGAAATACCAGACAGGAATTTTAAAAAAAGCTGCAATAACATATCAAAATTCCAAAAAATTTGCTTGTTTTCAACAATCTGACAACCAGGCTGCATACGGCGAGATGCTTGACAGCTTGGTTCCGGTAAATGGTTGGACCGAGTGAAAGGCGTGGTCGAATAAATTTTTTCATCGTATTTGCATATTATCTCGTTCATTTTATACGCAATCTTGAAAATTTCTTCACGTGACAACAGGATATCATGGTTTACATGTCTTAAGCCTATCAAGAGGAGACAAAAAAAATTGGTAGAAAACTTGTCTGATAATATTACCCAAAACAACATTTTTTTCAAAAAACAAAGATCTCATGACATTAACGTACCTCAACTTAATGCGTACACGAAATTTTTACTTGATCACATTGATATTTTTCGAGAAACTATGGAAATAAGATTCAAAAAGTTTTACAAAAAAAATCGCAAATTTTTGAACAAAGTGATTAAAACCTAATAATATCATTATTGAAGCATGTACCACTACAGACCACCACAAAGAACCAATCAGCGGCCTCAAAAATACAACATAAAAAATCGTGACCAACTACTTTAAGATCCAATGCACTGATTGTTTATAAATTCTGTGTGAAGGTTCAGCACATAGATCTCAGATTTTTGTTTTTTAAATTATTTGTTTGTTATAATAAATGATTTGTCGATTTTGTTACCGGGTGCCACAAAAAGTAGAAAAAGTTGACTTCCAGGAAACTATCACCAAATTAACCAATTTTGTTTTTTTTGATACAGATGATCCAGCGACGAATGGAAATGCACATCGCCTGTAAGGACAAATTAATAAAGATGATGATGATAAGAAAATATGAAATGTCGGATTAAAATTCCGCTTATATCATCGGGTCTAATGGCAATGTTAATGCCCAATTTATCAATAAAACGCACTTCTAATAAAGCCACAAAAAGTTAGAAAATGATCACGGTAACTCAGTTTTTCAGTTTTTGAAGCTTTCCAAGTGCAGTTTTGATAGCTATAGTATATAAGTCCGAAGCCCTACCTTCATTTACCTGACTTCATAGTTTTTAAGATCCCAATAGTGATGGCCGACTTAATCGTTTTTAACCCTTAAACGACAACATGGGGTCACCTGTGACCCAGCCCAATAATATTTCAGTCATATTTCGTACGAATATTCCGCTGCAGCCGTCTCCCCCCACCTACCTTTCAAGCGTAGCCATTAGTATTATCACAGAAAGCGACGAGAGCGGTCGACAGCTATTATCCGATTTATAGGTTATTGGGGTCGCCCGTGACCCGTGTTGTTATTTGCGGAATAAAAAAACATGTTTACCCAAAAGAAATATTTAAGTGACAAAGAACTCGAAGAAATTGTAAGACGCTACGAACGAGGTGAAGAGGATAGTGACGATAGTAATAATGACTTGGGTGATAGTGGAAGTGAAGCTGAAGATCATGAGGAGGAAGAAGAAGTGGAAGCGGACGAAATAGTGTATGAGCCTACTAAAAACGAGTCATCCGACGACGAGATACCTTTAGCAGATCTGCAAAGAAAAGTGATTTATGGGAAAAATGGTTACAAATGGAACTCGAAACCTTTTCATTCAAAAAATACACGTACAATGAAGACAAATTTGGTTGTCCATCTTCCTGGACCTAAAGGGGCAGCACGTACGGCGAAAACCGAATATGAGGTGTGGAAATTATTTTTTGATGATAACATGATGCATACAGTTGTTGCTCATACAAATGAAGAAATAAGCAGCAATCAGGCAAAGTTTTCAAAATCGCAAAGATACACAGGACAGACAGATAAAACGGAATTAGAAGCACTGTTTGGTTTACTATACATAAGCGGAGTATTGAAGAATAATCATGTAAACTTAGAGGAGCTGTGGTCTAAAAAGTATGGCGCACCAATTTTTAGAGCCACTTTGAGCAAAAACAGGTTTTCGTTTCTTAGAAAAAATCTTCGATTTGATGATAAAACAACCCGAAACCAAAGGAGAGAATTAGATAAATTTTGTGCTATCCGAAATATTTGGGAAAGATATGTTGAAAATTATCGAAATAATTACACGCCATCGGAATACGTTACTGTTGATGAACAGCTTCTGGGTTTTCGAGGGCGCTGTCCATTTCGCATGTATATCCCAAATAAGCCAGATAAATACGGCATCAAAATAATGATGTTGTGTGATGCAAAAACGTTTTATATGGTTTCAGCAGTACCATATATTGGCAAAGAAGATCGTCCAAGTAACCTTCCGTTACCCTCACAATATGTTCTAAAATTGTCCGAACCAATTCACAAAACTAATAGGAATATCACGGTAGATAATTGGTTTTCGTCTATGGGCATGGCAAAATCATTGAAGGAAGTAGGACTAACATTTGTAGGCACCTTACGAAAAAATAAACCAGAAATTCCAACTGAATTTCTCAAACCAAAAATATTAGAGCCTAACAGATTTGCTTTCAATGGAAACGTAGTTTTGGTGTCTCATACTCCTAAAAAGAATAAGGTAGTACTACTCATGTCAACAATGCATAACGGTAACGAGGTTGACCAGAATTCAGGGAAATCCGAAATTAATTTATTTTATAATGCTACCAAAGGTGGAGTCGATGTTTTTGACCAGCTATGTCACAGTAAGTCCGTATCAAGAAGAACGAAAAGATGGCCTCTTAGAGTTTTATACGGCATGCTTGATGGGGGTGCTGTGAATGCCTACGTGATCTATCAAGCCAATAGTCCAGACACTAAGAAAACACCATGACGCATGTTCCTGATGCAGCTGGGTGAAGACCTTACCAAAGAACATATGAAAAGGAGGCTTGAAATAACAAATTTACCACGCAATCTAAGGTAACAGAATGAAAAAGCAGCTTATCGATATAATATTGTTTGTTTTGTTTCAGGCAGCAGATTTTAGAGGTGTTGGATGTAGCAGAAACGGATATTGTAAACCAGGTACCACTTAGTCTGGAAACCAGAGGAAACAAACGCTGCTCCGTATGTCCAAGAACTCTAGACAGAAAAGGTAGAGATACCTGTATAACATGCAAGCGTAACTTGTGCGCCGAACACAGGCAGGCTATTTGTGCATTTTGTATTTAAAAATGTTGTATTCCTTTTTCTTCTCTAATTAAAGTTAATTAAAATATTTCTGGCACTGTTTTCAATGAAAAGATATCATCAATAACAGTATTTCTGCTTGGGGTCATACGCGACCCCATGTTGTCATTCGTGTATGAATATTCTCATGTTGCTATTTAAGGGTTAAGCCGTTTGAGGTCAACTTGATATTAACTGAATATTAGGATGTATGGTCGAGTTGAAAAATATCTTGATAACACTCCACCGATTCGATTCTCAAAATTTTAGTGACTTACCTGTGACTATTTTCGTAAGTTGGATATAGTGTAATAGAATCGAATAAAGGCAAATAAAAAATAATTTGAAACACCTGGTACAGAGCTTTAGTGTAATATTGAACTAATGATAATATAACTTGGGATCTTAAACTTTCATCAACATGACTTTTTCTCGGAATCAATCAGCCATGAGGTTAACTCCAGAATATAACAAATGTCCGAGGATTGTTAAGGTACGTTTACATCTGACACATATTGTATGATATTTATCTAAGAGCATCTGACATAAGTAGCATTAACTGTTTACATTATTAGAAATTTATATCATATACATGTAGGAGATCGCATATATTCCAAGAACTTGCAATAAATGTACATTAAAGTGTAGCTCAGTTTAGACTAGACGATGTCTCGGTATAGTGGATACCTATACGATGAAAATATCGAAAAGGAAATGTGCTGCTATTGTAATTATTATGAAAAGGTTAAAAAATAGAAATAAGAAAAAACGAGCTGTGTGGGTTCGAGAATGGATTTTAAGACGTGAAGGGATGGTGCATACAGCCAGTTAATGCGTGAGCTCAGTGCCGAAGATCCATCACAATTTTCAAACTTCATTCGAATGAAATTATCTGATTTTGAAATTTTGTCTAATAAAATAGCGCCTTCTGCATCTAAATAAGATACCAATTTCAGAAAAGCTATCAGTATGCGCAAGAGACTTGCTGTAACATTAAGATTCTTGGCGTCTGGTAATTAAATCACAAATGTACTATACAAATTATTTAACTTCTAAGAATCAAAATTTAACAATAATATTATTTGCAGATGACTCTTATTTAGAATACCGAAGCGCACAATAAGTTTAATTATTCCGAAAGTATGTAGAGCAATATTCCAAGTACTGAAAGGCGAATATATGAAAGTAAGTTTTTAATTTTAGGAAAACATTACAAATTTACTCCCAGTTTCTGTGTACAAGTACTGTGCTACAGATTGTGGAAAAGTCTGTTGACTAGACTGTTCTGAATGTTCAGTAGGAGCAGAATATGAGCTCACTGAACTTAGATTAGTATAGATAACGGAATTTAGTAGATCTTCTTCCTCACTTATTTCTAATATGGCTTGTTGAAATTTCTTTTTAATTTCCTACGCAAATAATCGGATGAAAGGCTTCTCAGTTCAGTTGCAATGTATTTCCCAAATACGTCGTATTGATCCTCTTCTTCATGCAAAACGTGTACAGCTTTTTGCATGAGCAAATCACTTTCTTTTAAATTATTAGATTTCTTTTTCTTTCTAGAATTCTGTTGAGTTTCTTGATCTGTGGGTTTAACATTATCAACAGTATTTATTTCAGAATGCTCAAGTGATATATTTTGACTGTCATCTTGTATCCGCATTTCATTTTCACTCGTCTCCACATCATCCTAGAAAACAATAGATTTTAAATTCCTGGATGTCATAAACCTTATTTATTTCACACTGTAATAGAAAACACGCTTTTACATTACAGCATCATTTTATTTGGTTTCAGTCTAGAAAATAAAATCGAGCCCGGTAAAAAAGAATCCGGCTTAGTTCGATAAGATTTTTTACGCGACTGAAATTTGAGAAACGTTCATTGTTTCGGAATTTTTGATTCATACTGTAAAAGTTCACGTTTCGGATTTATAACCTAGATATCTATTACATACTAGTTTTAGGCACCAAATACACCAGAAGAATGGCAGAGGATTAGCAAGAAATTTGAACTAAAATGGAACTTCCCAAATTGATTGAGGGCTATCGACGGCACACATGTCGTTATCCAAGCGCCTCAGAACAGTGGTAGCTATTACTTCAACTATAAGGGACAACATAGCACTGTTTTCATGGCAGTTGTTGATGCTGACTATAAATTCCTCATCGCCACAGTTGGTTCGAATTGAAGAATTTCCGATGGGGGAGTTTTTACAGCTAGCGGAGTTTCCCATTTTATAAAAGCGAAAGTAAATAAATTAGAAAAATCAGCACTTCCAGGAAGAGTATTACGTGTGCCGCCTGTTTTTGTAGGTGACGATGCGTTTCCTTTGCAACCACATATAATGAAACCTTATCCATTCAACCGTCAAGGTTCGATGAGAATTTATAATTATAGACTTTCCAGAGCAAGAAGAATCGTGAAAAATGCTTTTAGTATTATGTCAAGTGTATTCAGAATATTTAGGAAACCAATTCTTCTTGCGCCAGAACGCGTCGATTCAATTGTTTTGGCCGCTTGCTGTTTGCATAATTATTTATTATCTCAAAAATCCTCAGCAATGATATATGTTCCCGAAGGTACATTTGATCGAGAAAACCCTGCCACCGGTGAGCTAATACCAAGAAGTTGGAGGCACGAAGATAAACCGCAAACTTTGTTGCCGTTGACGCAACAGAGTAGTAATAACTATACGAATAACGCAAGAGAAATTAGAGAAGAGTTTCGAGAGTATTTTGTTAGCCCTCAAGGAGAAGTTCCTTGGCAATATAAGGTTAATATGAAAAAAATAAAGCAGATAAGACTAAAATGTTCTTGTTTCTTACCGTTGGTATATTTCCCAGTGCGGATCTGTATACTATACCACTTGTTAGAAACAAAAGGTATTTATAATACGGCCACTTTGATAAATAAAGTTCGTCGGTACCCTGGCCTGATTTTTTCTTAGTAGTTTTTTTTAATTTCGGTGTTGAATTAATTCCGTAAGATATGAATTTTTCTGGTTATTTCATCCTCAGTGGTTCCAAATTTATCAGCAAGCTCACTTAGGGCATTTCGTTTTTCACTCTATCTTTATAAATTTTACATTTAACATCCCAGAGTTCTGATTTATCGCGGTACATATTAATTAACTCATCGATTTCACTGTTCAGCCATTCTTTCTTATCACCCATCGTGTATATGCGAGAATAAATTTCTGGACACTTCTTCAAAAGTAGACGACTGGTCAACTAGCCCGATTTATTTTCGGTGAGTCGAGACTTGTAAAACTTCAATGTTTACATTAATCGTATAGATAACTCGACACATATTACCAAAGACGTATACATATATTTGTCAGACATAAATTGTTGGTCGTTTACATTAGTCAGAACTAGTGTCTGACATAAATATCATGTAATATATATGTCAGATGTAAACGTACCTTTATTATAGAGAGGTGAGAAGATGGCTTCGAAAAACGACAGAACCTCATCAAAGTGCAGTGTTTGCAATCACATTCATCCTCGCCAATGCTCATCCTGGATCGATACCCGATCTCATATAGCAGGCATATTGAGTTTCGAGTGTTATCATATTAACCCCTAATATTTATTTTGGCTCCCCGGGTTTTGTTTGTTAAACAGTATCAGTCTGGATATGGGTTTTGTCACGGGCAGGAATTTCACAGGGAATTTCATTTCGTTTTTGGAGTCCGCCGGGCCGCCAATATTTGCTTACGAGTGCATGTTTGTCGGTTAGCAAAAAATATTCATCTGTTTGTGCATCTCTGCATGCTCCACGGTGCTGTGTGGAAATAACTGTTGATGTGCGCCGACATACGGCGTTTGGCTAATATCTTTCATTAGGGGGAAATTGGGAAAAGATTAAAAACCGTGTGATTATATTTCAGCGTGCGTTAATGTTTGGGAGTGATATTACACATTTGACTTGTACTCTGAACAAACTGGTGATTTCATTTTCCATGATAGAGGTACTGTGACTCCAAAAAATGGAGTGGGTTCGTATGGTACCTCTCAGCAGTATCACTTCGGATCAAGTAGATATTTTGAAGATTACGAATTGCCAGTGGATCTTCCTCAAAGTCGCTGTGTATATAATGAATAGCAACGGTCCTAAAACGGAACCTCGAGGAACCCTGACGTGGTTGTAGTTACCTCAATCTATTATTATGAAGAATAACGCATTGCCTAAAAATACATAAGCAATTGCAAAATAATTTCAATGCCATATAGTCCAGGCTATAGTGGTAGAGTTTTGCGCACATAACTGAATGGTCAATAGTGTCGAAGGCTTTTAAAAATCCAAGGATATAAGTTGAGTGGCTAGGCTTCTCAACTAGGAGCTTTCAATTTCATTATTAGGATTTTAATAATTGACTATATCTTTAAATGTATTGGATGTATGAAAGTTACCTACTTATTTCACGAAATTTTGTGACAATCAATGATTTTGACATAATACTAAATGCAAATCACGGCAATGAGTATTTTTAACATTTTCAAGAACAATATCGCTATGTCGGCTCTACTCAATAGCTTCTGGATTATTCAAAGACAAGCTTGTAGTGTTTTGAAAATTGTGTGCCTTTCAAAGGTTGATTACACCCAAAGGCGAATGCTTCAAGCCAGAAAAACAACTCGGAGACTTGCGCTATCATTTGTCGTTAGAACCCAAAATTCCATATTCCAGAGGGTGGCTTTTCTTTAGCATCCCTAGACACCTACCAGCTTGAGCTTGTTGTTATTTAGACTTTCAGTGATAGAAAATTAAGAAAAAGATAAAAACATGTTTACTGGATATGAAGACAGCTTGTATACAAAAGCTCCTTTGCATAACTGTATTAAAATACCTTTGTCGCCATGTGTTGTTCTCGGTAGTGTTTAGATAATAAAAATATTCCGATTATCCTGAACAGCTCACACACATTAGAATACAACAGCCACCGTAACTGTAAATTATGTTTTCATAACTGTCTGCTCAACGTCAGACATGTTTGCATATGCGTAATGATATACCATTATAAACAAATTAATCGTTAACAGTCTTTTAAGTGTTTATTTACATATATTGGTATCTATTTACATATGCTTCTGGATGGACCGTCAATATCATTGTATTAAATCTAGGACTAACTAGTTATATGTTTTCTAATAACAGTTTCGTTGATCTAGGAACCAAGCCTGTGTCCAAATATCGCTAATTGTGATACTATGGAGTATGGTGGCCAGTTGTACAAAATCATGGAATCGGGGGTTCATAAGCTGGACTACGGAAGGGGCGCCATGGATAAGCGTGTTGAAAATGCTGAAGACAATTTTTCAGTGGAACATGTGGATTCTGCACCTTGAAAATTAGGAATGATAATAACAGACACCACAGTTACATGCTAGTTACATAAGGATTCCCGCTGCGAAATAGAATCTATCTGTTCATACCACAAGAACGGCCCCCACATGTCTAAAGACGTACACGATTGTGACTCGAGGGCAAAGGGCTGTTGAAGAAGTAACTCGTATATGCTCCCAAATAAAGACTATTAAATATAAAAGCATAAAGAATGTAATATAGTTTCACTGCTAGTGGTAGAATGACGAGAAAGAGTTCAGTTCGAAGTATTTTCCGAAATATTGCGAATCTTTTCACTATCTGATTTTCCATTGTGTTTTGTGAACACCTCTTTTAAAGTATTTTTATGCAGTCCTTCAACAATCATATATAAGCAATTACGCTGATAAATATTTGTCCTGCAATGATCATGAGTAAATTTTGTTGATATTCTGAAAAGTTGTGATCAAAAATGTTCATATAGCAGCTAACGCTTCGCTAGCTCGCCGATGACTTTACGCGAAAATTGATTCTAATTTTTATTTGAACGGCGGAAGTATTTGGTCACCTATATGAGAATTTATACTCAAATTTACTTTTATATAGCATCCACTGTCTTTCGAATTTGAAAACACTCCGATTATTATTAACGACCTGAAAGCCCGCTTTTATGATATTTTACAAAAACAAAATCCCACTGCATCGTTTGTGTCCAGTAGAATTAATATGCAAAACATCAAACGGACATGACGAGTTTTTTCATGTCCATCACACATTTAACACCCTACCGAGATACACCTCTAAAAAATAAATCGTTCGCAAACAATTATACATCACATAAAAGCATAGACAGCTTGAAATTTGAATACAACAGGCGTATGTGGAATGCAAAAATAACAAATGCTCTGGTCGTATACACGAGTGCAGGTATAGACCTTGTTCAAAAAATTTCAATAGTCGTGTTAGTACTTCTACATCCAGTGCAGCAAGAAAGTCTCTCACTGATTGTTTATTATTGTGAAAGCTCTTGGCGACGGCATTTTGATAACCAACTGAGACAGCAGCGATTGTCAGTTTAGACCAATTCAATGCAACGCCAAGGCTCTTATACAACTAATGCACCTCTTCTCCTTTGCCGACTCATTGCTTTCTTTTTTTTCTACTCTTTTCTCTCCCTGACTTTGTCTAATGTCTGGATAACCAGTCCAGAGAAATATATTGTCCTGCAAGGCTTCAACCAAGAATAAAGGTCTTACGGATCTATTTGGTAGACAACGAGGAACAAAAGATGCAAATCAGTGAAACAATCATGTTGATACTGTGTCCAAGAAGTTGATTCTCGGTCAAAAATAAGGAGTCAACATAGTACTTAAGAATACGTTGAATTTTTATTGATCTAAATAAACTTAAGTAGTATACAATTGCAGATTTAACTGATTCAAGTTGGAATGTGTTATTTGGAACGTATCATCCAGTATACAGAGCTTTATCGTTATCATCTTGCAGAGTTGAAATGAAACCTGTATGCACTTTCGGTAACTCTACACCTGTAGAGATGACCAGTTGCGTACAAAACTTTCAAAAGGAACAGTCGCTGTTTTTGATCAAAAGCATGACATGATTTGCAGTCTTTAAAACAACAATGTTCGGGTGTGCCAAAGCTCACGCAAGAATTGAATTAAATAAAAGCACAGATTTGCTTCTTCGTGAATCTTTTTCTAAACATGACTGAATTTATTTGAGACCTTATTGAATTTTATCTTTCGATATGCTGGTGTTTGTGGGCTTGTTGACATATAACTTTTGCGTAGCGATAAAATTAAGTCCAATGGTTCAAATCATATGATCCACAGGGTAAATTCTGATCACCGAAAGCAGAGAGTACGACTAGTGAAATGCACATCAGTAGCCAACCTTGTATCAACAAAATTCAGCGACGATTAGGTTAAATGGCTTTGAGGAATTTTGATAAGAGTGCGTATACACCAGCAAAACCAAAGAGAGCAGTTGCCTGCCGTACCATTTGATGTATCATCGTATCATGTGTACTACGATTCAATAGACAAAGAGCCAGCTAAACACAATTTTTCTATTTTTTATTAAAATTCTGAGTGACACCTTTTGTTACCAACCTGACAGAGAACGAGAAAACAATCGTTATTTCAAATTTTGAGAATTTAGAGAATCTCTATGATCCAGTTTCAGGTCGAGTGCAGCCCAGCAGCTTTTATTTATACTCCAAGCACCACGAAGGCTTAAGGCGGCTCCGACGCAGTGAGTTTCAGGCCATTTACAAGGGTTTAGCTGCTTCGGAATTGACGCTCCATTTTTCTATATATTTGAATAAAATTTATACAGTATGTTAAGAAGACAAGTGTCCAGGGTGCTATAGAGCCACTTTTCTAAAAAAAATTTTTTTTCTGGAGTTATGGTGGGTGGAAGTGCAGATAATTGTTGTTCGACTTCTCGATTTTTTTAAAAATAACCCAGAGGAAAAAACGAAAAAGTGGCTCTATAGCACCCTGTGGAGTCTTGTTTTTAGTGCACTGTGAAAATTTCATTGAAAAATATTCAAAAATGAAGCGTCAATTTTGAAGCGCGAAAACCTCTGCAAATAGGCTTTTACACGAATTTTATCCACTATCTCGTGCTGCCAGTCGAAGCAACGCGGCGGTGTGTACGGACTAAGAAAGGACGTGTTCAGATAATTTGTGGTCCCAAGTTAAACAGTAGCAGTTTTAACGTCGGTCGTTCGAGATAAACATCGGACCATTAAGTGATATTTTTAATAGACTTCAATGAAAGAGGGGAAAATTTTAATCGATTTTGATCATTTCTTTTTATACAATAGGCCATGCTTCAGAGGTGATACCACAAAAAATCATTTTTGTTCAATCACCCCAATATGGATATCAAATGGAAGCACTTGTACAAAACAGTAATACGAAAACAGTTTCAAATCAAGATGGCGGCCGTTACAAAATGGCGGATAACATACTTGCTAATATCTCAAATAAGAGTCGTCGCCTTGTAGAATACAGTACTTCACTAAAAATTTGATTCCAAGATTGCCGCCGTTTCGAAATTGCGAGTTACATATTTTTGTACAAAACCCTCAATTTACATATCAAATGAAAAGACTTGACATGTGTGGTAAAATACAGAACTTTGTGACCAAAAGTTTCCAGGTGGTTCCAGGGTCATTGGAGGCGGTAATCTTTTTAGTTAAAAATAATAATTATAGTGAACGCATTTACCACAAATAAAATGTCACTTGCTGTTTAGCTTTAACCTTATGGAGTATCGTAAAATAAACTTAACACGATAAGCGTCATGAGATATAATGCGTGTGTCGCAGCTCATTTGGCGCTTTGGGCCTCGTGACACACATGATATGTCTCACTGCTGGCAGTTATATTTGGCCGCGTAACGTAAGACGTGTGCCATGCTGATGTGATTTTCTTACGGGAACCAAGAGTCCGTGGCCTGAGGGACCAAATTATACTGAATTGGAAATGAAAACATTAAAAAACACGTTGTTTATAGAGTTTTACAAAAAGAGGATATTCTACAAATCTAAAACAAAAAGCAAATCTTATAAAATAATCAGACATTCTCATTCAAAAATGAACAAAGTAATTTCACAGCAAATCAGTAAGTTATGGTAAATGTCGATATTCTAACGAACACAAATATGGAGGAACTCTTATAAACTAAACAGATTGACAAAGTCTTATGCAGGAATAAACAAAATACCGGTATAAATAAACAGTAATACAGATAAATATGGAATTACTACAACTACTATCTGATTCACTACCACTTGGAGAATACGCATCAGATAAGTATACATCCCCACATAACTCAGTACTGCCACTCTCTTCATCCGATAGTATTTCATTACACAATTGTTCAAGCCTTTTTTGCTCCGCTTCGTAATGCGACATCACAAATTTGGTATTCAATAATTTATCAACAGTAAAGCAATTTGGACAAGATGACGTACAATACCAACAACGCTTCAATAATAAATGACACGAAACAGTGCTCAACGCGCGACATGATGCAAGTCTTGACTTGCAAAAAACGCGACGCGACTTATGTGCCACTCGACCCGACTGGTCTGTGGGCCACGCGACATACAATTAGTACCTCAGAAAAAAAATCAAAAAAGGGGAAAAATCATAGGATTTGAGAAAAAAGTCAAGTCAAAATATTAAACCGAAACTTAAAACAAGCTAATTTGACAATAATAACAGTTTGGCCCAGTGGACTGGATTTTCAGATTCTACTGTGGCGCTTAACGTGTCAATGTGACATTTCAATATTCGCCATCTAACAGACTAGATAAAGCTAGCCGATGCTACGTGCTATTGAGCCTGACGATTGACTTTTATTTAAATAAACAATATATACATAATATACAATAAATAGTGAACATCTGGTACTAGTACCAAAATGGAAGAGATTAGCATAACATCTCGCACATCGCTGCTAAAGCGAGATCTGCACACCGCATTTGCCGACACGAAGGGGTTAGTAACGGCGTACAATGTAATATGCTAATCTCTTCCATTTTGGTACCCGAGTACAGCAAAAATAGCCAATTCTCAAGAACTCTTTT